AAAATATATATATATATATATATATATATATATATATATATAAATAATAGTTTTTTTCCCCCAACACTAGTAATATATTCAACACTAGTAATATATAAAATATTTTTCAGCTTTTTCCCTTCATTATGTAGGTTTTCCAGGAGGTGTTTGGCTATTTAATCGAAGAATTTAAAACCTATAAGCCTATTTTGTCTGCCATCAAAAATGAGTATGACGTCACATTAGGTATGTACAATCTTTTTAGTTATTTGTGGGAGAGGAAATATTTGTGCTAGTAGGCTACCACCATTTCTATCATTTTTTTGGTTACTAATGGTATCAGTATTGTATTAAACAAAAGGCATGTTAATGCAAAACATGTCAAATTGATGCTGATCACTTTCAAAACATAAACTGTAGCAAAGGCAATATATAGAAATCCAAGACGTGTAATATAAAGTAAAATTAAATGCTAATGGACCTCAATTGGTCAATAGTAAGTAGGGATGTAACGATTAACCGCGAGCCGGTTGAAAATCGATTCAAATATGTGACGATTCAAATCGGTTGAGATGCTAAACAAATCGCGATTCATTTAGGTGTAGGAGTTTATATGAATGCGTATCTGAGGGGAACTTATTGTTTTTAGAAAAGTTTAGATGGTATTTTTTCTTTTCCTCTTGCCTCTGTATAATGCATATTAAAGTTCATAAGTGCAGCGCTGCTTTGTTTACAGCGGAAACCAGGAAACGCTTTAAGCGCCACCTGCTGGCAGAGAGTGAATCTGCATCTCATTCAGCTCCGCTGTTTCATGCAGATATTTTTATTTTTTAGTTTTGTTATTTACATTTACATTATATTTAAATTTTGTCATTTAGCAAATGCTTTTATCCAAAGCAACTTACAAATGAGGACAATAGAAGCAATCAAAACCAAGAAAAGAGCAGTAATATGCAAGTGCTATATTAGTATATTATTATAGTGTTATATTTCAATTTCACAAAGAAATGTGCAGCATTTTGTCCAAGCAATAATGAAAGGACACATTTAATTTATAATTTGTCTTAAATCTCATTTTGTAAAAATAACAATAATCGTGAATCGAATCGAATCGTGAGTTGAGTGAATCGTTACATCCCTAATAGTAAGTCATGAGAAAAAGAATAGATGAGATGACACTAATCAAAGTGTTAATGTCTCTCCCAGCGCATCTTCGTGAACAGATCAGGGATCTGCTACCACTGCGGGGGAAGCTGGTGCTTGTGTCGGAACAGTGTGAAAAGAAGATTCTTGATCAGAGAGTACAGGAAAGAGATGAGATCCGAGCTCTGAAGCAAGAGTGTCAGCGTCTGCAGCGTGTCATTGAGAGTATGAGAGGACAACAGACTGCTCTGCAGATTCAGGTGGAGCTAATTTATTATGTTTGTCCTTCTGTAGAGATCTGGTCACCTTGGATTATTCACTATTCTGAGTGGTTAAAGGATGTTTTGTCAGTATTTGACAAATGTACTGTATATCAGTTAACGACAATCATGACCTCTCAATAGGCTACAATAGGGTAAAGCTTATTTTATGGAATCGTATGATCCCATTCTCTATGAGAAACTGATCATATTATGTTGTAGGTTCTCTTAGCATATTATGTGTATCTTATTAACATTTGAACACAGTTTGAAATTAATTGAAATGTTTACAGCAGATGCTTGTCAGGGCCAAACGATGGGTCATTGATTTACATCTCAAGTGGTGCAGGTCATTCACATACAAATTTGAAAGAGGAGGAGAGTGAAACTAGAAAGAAAATTAGTTCAAATTAACTGATTCCTAGTGTTGTTAAATTAGATTTTATTTTTATACTTTAATTTTCTGTTTTATTTTTAGTTAGGTTAATTTTTAGTAATTTTGTTAGGTGCTTTGTAATTTTAATTAGTTTATCTAGTTTTAGTGTTTTTTTTATCTTAAATGTATTTTTATTTTATACTTAAACTTAAGTTAATGTTTTTTATCTAATAAATAATTGTTTTATTATGTTTTCCTTTATTTAAGCTTTAGTTCAATTGCTGAAAACAATTGTTAATATTTAAATTTTAGTTGTAGTTAACAATAACAACACTGCTGCTTCCATAAAGCATATATGACAATAGTATATGTGTATCTCTCCCATAGGTTGATCATCTAAAAGAGGATCTGGCCACCCAATATCAGCTATACAGAGATGAACGTGATGCAAGAAAACTGGTCATCACCAGAATCAGCACAATGCAGTCTACCCAAGATACTGAACATGATGATAATAATGAAGGTTACACTAATGCCACTTAGTAGTAGAGTCTGAAAAATTAAACAAAAGCAAAAGTTTTACTACTGGAATTTAGTGTATGAGAATAAGGATCCAGTGGTAGGGTGACCACCGGGACAGTCTTGAAATTGAGAGGTTTGTCCCTTTTCCTGCAAGACGTAAACAGTGTCCCACATTTCAATTATGTGTGTATTATTATTTTTTTCTTCCCTGAAATTACAAATGACCAAAAAAATGCCATTTATGCAGCCGTCATGTTCTAGCTAGAGTGGGGAAACAACAACCAAAGCATTCATAGAGAGGGTTTTTTTCCTGCTGATGATGACTGGATGGAGAAAAGGGATCAGTGTGGACCTCATCAAAAATCGTTAAATACATCCAGGCAGGATTTTTTCTAGACACATGCTAGATAAGAACATCCTGATCAAACCTGCCAGACCCAACAAAAAATACAAGTTCAAGACGCACTGAATCTGGTAAAACTAATTAAAAAAACATAATCTAGTCACTACGCCACAATTTAGTAGACTGAATATAGCCTATAGCCTTTCACTTAAACCTGGGCAAACTGTCACAGAGTCGGTCACCATTAACAAAGCTTATTGATGATATAAAGCATGTTATCATCCAATCAACATTAATATTTACATTTACTCACACTCGTGTCCTGCATTTTCCTGCTAAATCACATCTACTCTCCTGCAACTGGGCAATAACTGACTGGTCACCCTAGCCAGTGGAGGAAGCGTAGTAGAGGTGTGATGTTAGATTATTTGAAGATGAAGAATATAAGCGGGGCTGGAACTTTTTACAGAGGTCTGATTGCCAGGAATGAGTTGCAGTAGTCAGGAGTTTGAGTAGTGAGGAGGTGGTTTGACAGAAACTTTGCTTGTTCCTCTCAGAGGATGAATCTGAGGATCCTGTGGTGGTGAAAATGGCTTTGCAGGTGTGTAAAGAGGATCTCACCAAAAGTCCAAGTTGAGCTTAACCACCTGCAAGCCGAATACAGTGATGTGGTCCCACGAAGAGACTGGGATAACCTGAATCATATGCATGAGGAGACTTTAATGAAGGTATGGAGCAGAAATATATATACAGTATATAAAATAATCAAAATAATATATAAAATAATCAATTGACCAATATACCTAACAAAATGTTTTGTACTTATGTATGGTAGAATTAAGTATTTAATCTATTATATTATTATGTTAATTTTTATGTTTTTATTTATCTACACTACGATTTGAAACTTTGGGGTCAGTGCATTTTGTAATGAATAATATTATTCAGCAAGAATGCATTAAATTAATCAAACACCCAAAAGAATGACTCTTAAACATCAATTCTAGATGTAGCATGAAAATAACACAATAATCTATTTGATATGCATTTGATAATAATATTTAATGTGATTTGTTTCCTTGTTTTAGCTGGAAACCTTACAGGCAGACTTTGACCCGTTAAAGTCCGAGTATGACACACTGCTTGAGGTTCATCGTCAGGTACTTGTGCAGAGAAACAGACTTCAAAGAGGTCTATAATGATAAATAAATAATCATAAACTCATCCGATTACTAAACATTATTCTAATCAACAGTCAACACCTGCTGTGTTACACTCCAATCAGTCTGTGCTGCAACATGGCTCAGATAACAAACACATTGTTGCAACTCCCAGACCAAACTGGGAACAATGTTCAGGTAACAGTATCTGAATTTTCCAGTCGTAAGCTGTCATATCTGTTCTTTATATAGTGCAGTTAAGCTTATGTTTGAGACAATCTTATGTGTTGTACACATACTAGGAGGCAGTGAGCGATGTAAAGAGCTCTTTGGAGGTCAATCCAGCCAAAAGAGGCTGGAGATTTTGAGATTTTCCCTATATATATATATATATATATAATGTTGCTGAATGTAATTTTGTGGCACACTTGCTCAAGGTTTTAATTCAAAGTGACACAACACAATGCGGATCACTAACTGTCTTAGAATTTAGGTGAGCAAAAATAATATAATATCATAATTCCTCAGTTGAAAACTTATGATTGTCGTGTGATTATTACTATGTTATGTGTGCTATTTTCAGTGAGGCATTGAAGAAGGCTTTCCCTCTGAAGTCAGATCAGGACATAGAGGAGCTGTTGGGGGTGGCTCAGACAGAGCTGAGGAGTAATGGAGTGTGCATTGCTTATCAGACACTTTATACAGAGGTCAGTTTAAGAACATCATTTATAGTGAATATAGTGACTACCATTCAAATGTTTGGGGATGGTATTAAAAAAATAATAATTGTGCAACACCATTTATTTGCTCAAAAATACAGTAAAAAATAATATTGTGAAATATTATTACAATTTAAAAATAACTTTTAAAAAATGTCATTTATTCCTGTGATGGCAAAGCTGAATTTTCAGTAGCCATTACACCAGTCTATCACATGATCCTTTAGAAATCATTCTATTAGGCTGATTTGGTGCTTAAGAGTCGTTTCTTATTATTATAAGTGTTGAAAACAGTTGTGCTGCTTAATATTTTTTAGAAAAGATTTTCTAGGAATTTTTGACAAATAGGAAGTTCAAAAGAACAGTGTTTATTTGTATTAAGAATATTTTGTAAAATTCTAAATGTCTTTATTGTCAGGCTTGATCCATTTAATGCATCCTTTCTAAATGAAAGTATTCATTTCTTTCCAAAAAAATCTTACTGACTACAAAGTTTTGAATGGTACTGTATATATAAATATATTAAAACAACATAATGTTTTGTGTACATGTTTTTTCTCACTCCAGGACACAGATGGAAGACACAAAGAGTTCCTGAGTCTAGTTAAAAAACAAGCTACTTCTGAGAGACTGCAGTACATCAGCGAGCTGAGAGTGCAGCTGGAAGGCAAAGAGTGAAAGATCATCATCCATCAAACTGTTTACAAAATTTTGATAAGTTATTAGAGATCTCAGTGTAAAAGCCACATTTAACTAATCTTGTTTAGATTTCGATAATTGTCATAGTTTTGTCCTGTTTTGTATATCATCAATGTAGGGAAATGGATGCAGAGCACCTCAGGGCTGCCTTCAAGACTATCGATCCCTCACTGGATTCTGAAACTCTGGACTGGAATATCAGTGTAGCTTTTCAGACAAAGGAGTGTGAATTACAAGCCCCAGCTTTGAACACAGAGGTTGTGCTACAGCGTCTCTCTGTGGCTAATGTAAAAAGGGCAGGGCCAAAGTGATGACCATTTGTTACAAGCACATTTCCAATCTTTTTATAGCACACTACACATATAAACCAAGCACAGCACTAGGATATAGAAACACCTCTGTATGAATAGTTTGCATATTGTTATGTAATTAGATAAATCACATATCAAGAATGACACAATAATTAAATAATTAAAAAAATTGTTTAAATAGCCTCATGTCTCTGCATGCTGCTTTAACATGTTTTAATTTTTTGCTTTTGCTTAAAAAGAAAAGTAACTGCCATTTTACATCTAAATCAACAAAGCTATATTAATTTGTATTGTCCGCTACAGATTACTTCATAATTATTTTTAGGTCAGTAAATGGTACATTTATATTTATTTGCGTGTCAGTTTTATTCTGTTGATTTGTTACAATTTAATGTAATTTATTATTAACAAGAGCTCAATTTTCCACCTGGTAGGCCTAAATGCAAAGAAGCACTGCATTTGTGAGACTAATTGAAAACTAAACTGAAATTTTCTACACATGTAATTTGATTTAACAGAACAGAATTTACAACCACAGATTGTAAATAGAAGAGAAACTGCACAGATATGGTTTCTAAGCGTTTCGAGCGGTTCTCGTACTCGAGTCAAGAATCGGTTGCTGATGGTACTGATGCTGTATGATTCTGTGAACGCGGGTGAACTTGAATTATATATTAAACGTAAGTTTAATAACAAATAAATAGGACTGGATTATGCATAGTAAGTGGATTGTGGTTTCTGTAAAACGCTGATATAAGACTAATTTATTCACTTTATATCTATCTCTAAGACATGTAAAATATCGATTGTACATAAGACTAATTTATTCACTTTATATCTATCTCTAAGACATGTAAAATATCGGTTGCACATAAGACTAATTTATTCACTTTATATATCTCTAAGACATGTAAAATATCGGTTGCACATAAGACTCATTTATTCACTTTATATCTATCTCTAAGACATGTAAAATATCGGTTGCACATCATTGCCTGTATTTGGGTGCTTTAACAAAACCTAAATGTAGGATCCAAGATGTTGATGATGATGATGTTTTAAACTGATTGAAGTTATGATTACTGACTTTATAAGACTATATCGTACGTGAGGACGTAAAAGAACCGGTGAGCCGTTTTTGAACCGGTTCATTGAAACGAACTGTCCGAAAGAACCGGTTCGCAGAAAAGAACCGGACTTCCCATCACTAATCGACAACATGTTTACACTGACTGGCTGTCAAGAACCAAAATTCAAAGCAGTGTGTAAGCGCTTTGCGCATGCTCAAACTGAAGAGGCCGCTCAACTTCTGTTCTCCGCGCGCTGGAATCGCCATAACTGGAACCGGGGAATCGGTTTAGGGCTCACGGAGGTAAGATGTTGGCCACATATTATTTATAACAGTTAACGTTGCATTTACGCTGCACATAACTACTTTATAACTACTTTATGCAAAGTAGCACTGAGGCTTTTTGCCAAGAATAATCTGAAACGCTAGCGAATAGGACACGCCTATAGGACAGGAGGGTGTCGCGCCTGCATTCAGCTCATATGGCTCTGGGGTATTTTTAGAACGGAACGACGGTGCGTTTGGTCTAAGTTGACCGTTGATCGTTACTATTCAAACTCCGAGTCGATATTCAAAAGGCAAAGGTCACTTCAATGTAAAACACAACTTTTTCGCATCACGATTTAGCCGGCGAGCTTGTTGTAGACAGACAGCCCAGTGTTAGCACGTCTGCGGCTAAAGCTAAAATGAATCAGTCAGTCCACAGCGAGACCATTGAAAGCTAGCTAATAATCTTAGCATTGCTACTTTTAATGGTTAGTGGCATTCTTGATCAAATAGTGGCTCTAGTTTGACGGAAATTATTTTAACCACAATTTTGACATCTTCATATGGTTACTGATTGATTTGTAAATGAAGTTAGTACTTGCTAACCGACCAACTAGTGCTAAGAGTCTCTAAAATCCAGCCGAATGCTATTATATGTCAGTCATTTTGATCGACTTTGACAGTAATCGAACTAGCTTGGTTAGTGTAGTTATTGTCATTCATACAATTACTAATGTATGCAAGAAAGTGTAATTATAGAGAGTTGTCATCAAATGCTCTAAATAACTAAAGACGCATTGTATTCCAAAACTACTTGTTAGATGTCACATGTCAGTGGAAACTAGAGATATTAGAGTTATTGATATGTTTAAGTTTGAAAGTTGCTGACAAATCAGTATAGGTTTTTTAAAAGGGTGGAGCAGGAGTGTGTTCCATGTGCTTCGTTTATAAAGGTCTGTTCACACTAAAGGCCCGTTCACATCAAGGACAATAATTATAACGATAAATATATAGTTTAAAAATCATTCTAAATTGAAAAGAATGGAGAATAGGGTACGGTACACACTACTGCTATAACAATGACACAGGAGCGATGTATGATAAATAATAAAAATACTGACAGTCAACGATAATCTATCCAACTTTAAAGAGCTCAAGCATTTAGATAACTTTTATAATAAACAGGTTTATTGTGTGTTGATGTGAACACTAATATAGTTATCAGTACAGTTATCTTTATAGTTATTGTTCTTTGTGTGTACAAGCCTTAAGGACAAAAAATCATTCTAAATTGAAAAGAATGGAGAATAGGGTACGGTACACACTACTGCTATAACAATGACACAGGAGCGATGTATGATAAATAATAAAAATACTGACAGTCAACGATAATCTATCCAACTTTAAAGAGCTCAAGCATTTAGATAACTTTTATAATAAACAGGTTTATTGTGTGTTGATGTGAACACTAATATAGTTATCAGTACAGTTATCTTTATAGTTATTGTTCTTTGTATGTACAAGCCTTAAGGACAACAATTATAAAGTGCTAATAATCATTCTAATTCTATAAGAAGTCCAAACCACAACTATAACCATAACACTACAGAGGATCGATATCGGTGCAATAACTGAATACATTTTTCTAGCAGGTGAACTATAAAGACCTTGACAGCCAGTGTAATATCATCGCGCCTGCTGCACCCATGGTACGGCAGCAAAGCCGTATTCAACCTTTGTGAATCGGGCTAAAGTAAGGCGATAGTTTTGAACACTGGCTGGTCATGTACTTGCTCAAATATTGATTTTGGATCATTTTTAATCAAAAAAAAGTTACGGACTGCAGCTTTAACAAAACTTATAAGCATTGTAGTATTCAAAGTGGATGTCGTAACAAATGTCAGTAGACCGGGAAGATTTTACAATGAGCAGTTCATTGATAAATCCGTAAGATCTTACCTTCATGCAGTGGAAATACAATCTGGAAGACAAGACAACGAGCTCAGCACTGAACAGAGGTGTGGCTTTATAAGGTCTATTTAGTGCCAGAAAAACAAAAAAGGTGCACTCAGTATCGTTAATTTTGCCAATTAAAAACTTTACACACAAAGGAACAGCACTTTGAGAAAAATTATTAAAATTAGCCTATTTATACTTCATCAAATTACTATCTGTCCTCCTATCTAAAGTTGTTTATTTACTACATGGAGCAGGTTGCTCCAGTATGGGCTCTGCCATCTTGTCATCACATGACCAGCCATATCATGCAATTGATAAGTTTACTTCACATATTGCTTTCAATCAGTGTGTGATGCCCTCAATTATAAACAAAAGTACATCTTAACAAGCCCAACAGTGTGACAAGCACAATACAAATGATAGAGACCACTGGTACTACAGGCTTAAAAGCCAGTGCACCTTTAAATGTAGATGAAAGTTTCTGTTTTTTTCTGTCTGTCAGTTGTTGTCAACCCTCAGTCTGTCATATACATTGAGTCATTTATTCTGTTTCCACCAGTGCCTGTAGCAGGGTGAGTCAGAATGGGAGACAAGCCGAATTTCATGTGAAGTCCACTTCGCAGGGCACTTACGGTCGAATAAGACAACGCGTGAATGCTGCCTGAACAAGAGATCTCCTTACTGAAGTGAAAGTGTTGACTGGTGTCACTATCTCGTGAAAGCGCCGGTGGACCTCCACCAAATTCGGGGGATCCCTTCAGCTCGAGGAATCCTCTAGAACGCGAATCAAGTGTACGTCTCGAGGCCCTCTTTTGAATGAGACCATCGATAGCCCCGGGGTTCGGGAGTTAGTGGTGGTTAAATTCGCGGCCCGGCGCCGACCGATCTAGCGATCCCGGGGGGCTACCAACGCGAGGAGGGTGGCGTTCGAGAGGGCCCGAATTTGGTGCGGATTTGCAGTGCCGTTAAGGAGGTATGGCCGTTCAAAGTTTCAGTGGTTTTCCATAGACTTAAGCTTTAAAGCGTTTCATCCAGGTCACCAGTAGCAAACAATAGACCGCGATCTGCTGGACAAACTAAGTAATTACACAATTTCAAGCATTTTATCTGCGTTATATGTTCTGTAAAAAAAAAAAGTTCATATCGGCGGCATATTCGCCGATACCGATATATCGGCGACAGGCTCATATCGGCCGATAATATCGGCAAAACGATATATCGGTCGGGCTCTAGTGTGCATCCCCAATTAAATATTGATCAGATGTTTAATTACCATATGTTAGGCTTGCCGCGATAGACGGTGCTGAAGGTGATACCGTTGTTAAGCCGCAACACCGGTTACGTCACTTGCCCATCGGGACACTGACCCCCACCGTCGCTTTGATTTTTTATAGTAATAAAAATCATTTAGTTCAGTAAAAGAACAGACACTACAATTAAAAACTGAACGCAGATGCTCAATGTAGCGTGCCGAACAACAGTCACATCACAGATCAGATTTAATTTCTCTAGTGAGGAGAGTGAGTCGAGCTGACTGACAAGAAGAGTGGGGTGAGACAGACAAGACGATGGCGGATGATTTAGTTTCTAAACGAAATGCAAAAGCGCCTGTTTGGCAGTGTTTTGGATTTTGAAAAGCCTGTTGACTTTTGCTGTTTATCTAAGGTGATTTTGGAAGTTTTTTTAAACATTTGTTTCTTATTTAATTGGTTCCACATTATTTGCTGATTTTTACTTTATTTAAACTTTGTGTAATTTATTCATTTTATTTGGCATCAAGGTGTATACCGTGCCTCCAAGCTTTCTTATTCGTTTTGCTAATAAACTTTCTAAGTTTCTTATTTATTTGGTTATATATTATACATGTTTAATTACTTCCAGTTTTGTATAGGCTACCT